TACCTGTGGTTAGGGGCGGATCCACTCTTGGATTAGGTATGTTACATCTCTGAGGATCACTGAATGGTTTGAAGACTCTGAACGTGTGGTGGAAGAGACCACCCTGGCTTTGCTGTTCTTGGGCCTTGGTTACAACGAAAAAGAAAATACTTTTTATCTCCCTTTCTCACATGAGCAACTCTCATTTTTTTTTAAAATTGTTATCCAATTAGGTTGTGTCATCCTAACATTTTAATTAGCAAAAGGATGATATATTACTCAATCAATATTTTATATCATATGTTTGACACCGTTATTTTAAAAAAAAAATTATCTATAAATATTATACAACCTTTAAAAGTATTTCGAAAAGTACTTTGAACTCATAGTTGCTTGCACTTTCATCTTATACCATCATATTCACTGAATTACCAAAGCAAAATTATGATATTTTCGAATGTTCTATGTAAACCTACTTAAAATAATAAACCTCAAATTCTCAATACAAATATAGTTCTTTGTAAGTGAATGGGCAATTACTTGTATGATATAGTAAGTTTACTTAAATCCACCTAGACCCCATCTAGGTGTATAGGCGGCCCAGCTCTCAGTCAGACTAGCATCTAATGTCGCTTGATTAGGATCACCCAAAATTAAAATCTTGGAACCGCCACTGACTACAATATGAAAAATTGCGTAACTTTGTATATGATATTAATAAGCAAGTGAGCAAATTGTGTATTTAGCACTCATACAAATTTAGATTTTTTTTTTTTGAATAACTGATATTATCTACACGCACCAAGGGGCTGAGCGAGTGTGGTATGTTTTAATGTGCTAGCAATAATATAGTTCAATTCGCATTCTTTATTAAAAAGGAAAATTAATGAAAAATACTTGAAAACTTTGAGTTTTAACCAAAATAACGAAAAGGTGTTGTAAGTTAATAGTCTTGGAAGTGACTTTTTAAAGAAAACATATTATTTTCGTTAAAAGTGAACAGTACTGAGGATGTTTTGTTAAAAGTCTCTTATTTAAAATGACTAGCCTCTCTGCACACACTAACGTGCATGCGAGAGGCATTTTTGCATCATGGGCGCTACGCGCCCAAAGACGTGTTGTTTTAAATATTCTTATATTTCTTAAGTGATTATTTTATAAATTGTGTTTGTGTCCATCACAACAATTTCTTATTATTTTCAATTTTTTTATTATGTTCAATCATCTAACTTAGTCTTTTTGCACCCACCCATTGTACACAAAAAATGAAATTTATGAATTGCACACTAACCATTCCAGCTTTTTTTTTACTGATAGAAATTGATTTCACGAACTGAGCTATGCTTGATCATTATGACTTTGGTAATTAAGTTACTCAGTGTAGTTAGAATTCTGTTATATTCATTAGTACCGTTTTACCCTTATATATTGTACAGAAGAAGATCAAGAGTTAGGTTCCTTTAACTTTCGTATATAAAAAAAATATGCTTAATTATTTAATGCTGTATAGAAAATATGAACCGATCAATATATTTTGTAGCATGAGGATTAGTGGCTGTATTAAAAGGGTGCACAACGACATTTTTATATTATTAGTGGCGTCATTCGAGCAGGTGGCAGATCATTTGTTCAATGGCTGTGTGAATGGGATAGTTGATGCGGTTAGAGGAGTGAGTACATAATTATGGGTGTGCCATTTTGGGTTGGGACTGAGATGTTCAACATTAGAGTATGGGCCAGGCTACGTAGTTTCAATTGCTTGAGTTAAAGAAAGATTGATGAGATAGTGGTGTTAGCGTACAATCATCCCATTATTCCAAAGTGATAATGGTGTTATCGCATGCCATATTGTCATATTGCCGTGTTCATTGAAGAGTTTAGGAGCATATATTCCATCCAATGTGCACATATGTGATTAATCTCTCATACAATTTTTACTATTTTTCCTTTAAAACAACAACAAAGATAAAATGGGAAAACATATACTATTTAAAAAAAAAAATCTGAAAATATGACATGTAATTTCATTTCTAAATACATATTGACAACACTTAATGTCCTTAAATCAAAATGTTTCAGATTCATAAGTTTTCAGTCAAAGTTATAGGCTAGCTAGGGATGAACTCCTAATATATGAAGCAAAGCAAAATACGGACATCATGTACATATGTAAACATAGCGTCTACATGTGAAATCAAAGCCATGCTTGCCATTGCACTTGATGCTTTAGATTTTTATGGTTAATCTGCAAGCAATGATGATAAAATAAGAAGTCTAACTATAATGCACAATCTCCACTATAAAGATTGTAAGCAACTTAACCTAAATACCTTTAAGTTTGACAATTTTCTCATGGCAATACTTTTACTACAGTTACTTGTAGAATACTAAAAGATGAATAATTTGTCAAGTTTGAGGTAACAAACTGTAATCATATTTACAAAATTAAATAGTAAGAAATATTACCTTAATCTTGTACTTCAACCTTTGTATTTTGAGACGTGTGTGATGCTTGTAAAACAGACAAAAAATGCAATTTTATTTCTATTTGAAAATTGAATGCAATTTGAATTTATAGTATACTTTCGTATGAAAATATGAGAAGACTTACCGTATTTAGAAAAGTTGTTTGGTCACTATTAATATTTTTCCTGCACCCATAAATTGTTTTTTTTTTTTAATTTGTAGAATTTTTTTTTATTTTATAATTTGAGATAATTAATTTGTAGAATGATATAGAGAATGCCATTAAAAATAAATAGGTAAGAAATTGTGTTGTACCTAATTGTTGGACTTTATTCCAAATAAAGTATGATTTGAGGAGTTGTTGAAGGTTTTAATTCTTCTACAGCCTTTTTCATGCGCCACCTATATATTGAAGGTATATATGATGTTAGATTTCTTGTAACAAATTTAGCGTAGAATTTAGGATACATACTACTCATGCTTCTTCTTTTTCCACTCCTTGAGAATCAGTTGGCTTAAATTCGTAGTTTTTATTCCGACAGATATCTCCCAACCAGGTGTAAAAATAGAGACACGTCTGTTTGGGATCTTATCAATAGGTAGTTCCTTCTTCATTTTTTGTGGGTATTCTTGTAAATATCCTAAGAATGAAAACAAATAATTTTTAAATTTACCATAGCACATGTATAGCACATTAGATAATCAAAATTGAAACTCATAATCTGACCAAAATTTAAAAAAATGCACAACGAAGATTTCAAAGGAAGAAGTTCAAAAAGAACCCATATGAAGCTAAACCTGGGAATTCATACAATTACATATTATGCTTACATGAAAATGTGTAAAATGAGTACAACCATGCAGGAAAAAGAAGTGAAAAAAAGAAGCTTACACCTAAATTAATTTCCTTTTTATGCCTGGGGAGAGGGAGTGGGAGAAGAATGGCAAAGCAAAAAAGCGAAAAAAATTGAAATAAAGAAGAATGATGACTCGGGGCGTTGCTTAATACCCATTTTATCCCACGTTGGAGTGTGAGAGTCTGTAAAACCAAGTAACAACTATTGATAGCAGTTGCATAACTGAGGGGAAAATTAGAACATTTGAATTTGGATATAGGAAAATGAGTAGGAACGGAAAAAATGGGATTATACGAATTGGGAATTTAGCGCTTGTAGTGGGCGAGCTTCATGGTTTCTTGAAAACCCACGGCAACCTATGCCCCTTTCTTTCTCCCACTTTTGTTTCGTTTATTTATTTATTTATTTATTTATCTATATATAATTTTATAAGATATTAGCATCTCCTCCTAAAATGGATAGAAATTTGTTGTAGACATCCTAATCCGTTTAATTGTGGACCATATGCAGATATTAGTATAATTTATTAGATATTTTTTTGATATAGACATTAATATTTTCTCCTAAAATGGAGGAGAAGTTATTCCGTTCTTGTTGTTTTATTTTATTTATTTTTTTTTTTTTACCAATATAACAAATTTGAATTTTTTGTTTAATATCTCTCTCCTAAAATGGAGAGCAGTTATTCACCATGTGGCCTTTTTTATTAACTTTATTTTTTAATATCTATCTCCTAAAATGATGTTCTCGACTTTATTTTTTAATTTGTTTTTGTTGCCTTTATCATTTATCTCTCTCCTCTCCATAACTGCTAACTTTTAGAGGATAATTATCATGATTTTTTATCTCCTCCTAAAATGGATAGAAATTAGTTGAAACATCATAATCCGTCTAAATTAGTCGGACCACATGCAGATATTAGTATAATTTATTAGATATTATTTTTAACATAGATATTAATATTTTCTCCTAAAATGGAGGAGAAGTTATTCCGTTCTTATTGTTTTATTTTGTTTTATTTTTTTTCCAATATAACAAATTTGAATTTTTCTGTTTAATATCTCTCTCCTAAAATGGAGAGCAGTTATTCACCATGTGGCCTTTTTTTTACTTTATTTTTTAATATTTTTCTTCTAAAACGATGTTCTCGACTTTATTTTTAAATTGATTTGTTTTTATTAAAGTGCTGATTTTTGTTTTTAATTAAATTGTTGTATTTTAGGGTCTTAAAAGAAAATGAGGAACTGGACGCACTTTTTCTTTGTTTATTGTCTAAACCGCAATACTGCTAAATTTTAGAGGATAACTATAATGTTTTTTTTTTTTTTTTTGAATTTTTTTGAATTTTTTTCTTTTCCAATACAGTTTTTTTGTTCGGTTATGATTTTTTTACCATTTTGTCCTAGTTTTTTTTATCAATAACATTTGGAAAGATGTTAGGGTAGAGGAACTATAATGTTGGCATCAAATGAAACCTTTCTCATCGGACCAACAAAGTACATTACACGCCATATGCCATCATCATGGATGCAAAAACCATTTCGGCTAACACTCATAAACATGAAATAGACTCCGGAAAGTAAAAATTTCACAAATAGTCAAATAGGTTAAATTTTTTTTTGAACTTTCAGTCAAATAGTCTACCTTGTCTTATTTTTTATTTTTTATTTTTTTGCATTGCTGAAGGGGCAGATTTTTTATTTTTTATTTTTTTGCATTACTGAAGGGGCAGATTTTTCTGTTTCTTTTGTCCCTTGCAGTGTTTGTTGGAATAAGAGTGTGTGCACGTAATGGAATCACCAACAAAGCGATTCAAACTTTTGCAGAGCCTGCAGTTACTCTCTAGAGGCCCCATCATTGTTCGTAATTCTGCAAAGAAAGAAGAAAATGAGGATGGTGATTGAAGTACTCACCAATTCAAAAATGGACCTTCAGAAAATTTAGATGGTGATTGAAGCCTCGAAGAGCTATATTCTTCTCTACCAAAAGACAAATATTCCCCAAACCTAAGTCATGGAGACGAAGCATACACATAGAACCGAAAGACAGACCATCAAATTATCAAAATCCAGTCAAACATAAATGAGTTAAATAGAAAAAAGAAACGAACTCCATCGTCAAAATTAAATCGTACCTTTGCATCGCCTGCTTATCCATGGGAACAGCACATAGAAACCTCGCATTGGAATTTTCAGAAGGCATCCTCATCCGCCGGAACAACGCATAGAACCCTCGCCCTGGAATTTCCTTAAGGCATATGAATTAATAAAGTTTAAGTTTCTCAGTTGCAATTGCTCAAACATTCACTTTTTTAATAAAACTGGGTCTTCATATTTTCTACATAAACAATCACTTGCATTTGCAATTTAAAATAAATAAATAAAAATGGGATAGAGTTTACCTGGGATAAGGGAACATATCAAGAAGATAGTATTTGGGCTTCGAGGTATCAATTTCATCTGGGGTTCGAAAAGTCCGATTTCCTCCCAGTGACACTGCCATTTGAGCTCGATTTCGTGGAAAGGATAGGGCCTCACCACCTGTTGCTGGTCGTCCACCACCCCATTGGCTTTCTCAGCCATCAAGTTTATGAAAACAGAACAATGGAAAAATTGGATTAACATAACCAATAGTTCCTTGGAAGCTGAAATTAAAGCACATGATAGAGAAAAAAAAAAAAAAATCAAACACCAAAAATACCAAAGAAGAGAGAAAAAAGTGAAGAAAAATACCTAAGAAACCGACGAATCAGTTTTTGCGTGACCGAAGAAAGAGATAAACCAAACACAACTGCTCATAGCAATTTCAAACAACACCACGTACTTCTTCTCTCCTATGAAGTCGCAGGTTTTTATCTTTTATCTATTTATTTTATCTTTTTTCCTTTAATTATCTGACACTTTTTTGTCCCAAAATGCCCTTGCAGATTATAACCTTTTTTTTTATGTTGGTAGTTGTAATTTTTTTTGTTTGGGGGGCTTTTTAGTCCAAAACTTTTTGATGAAACCTTGAGACACCAAACTTGACTTCTAGCTTTTAGAGATTACCATATTCAAATAAATTTTCCTTAAAGAAAAAAGCGCAAAGCAAACTGAAAGAGCAAGAAATTTGAAATGGACGGTAACTAACTTTCGAAGCAACGACTAGAAAAGGAAAACGCAACGACGTTAACGCGCTCCCTCCCGCCTTCTTCCTCTTCGGCCTTTATCCCGCCCCTTCTCTCTCTACATCCATCTCCCCCGGTTGTCCCCGTCTTCCCTCTCCCCTTATCAGAATCCAGAAAAAAGAACTACACCTAAAACCACCCTCCATCGCACACACCCTCAGTGCTACCAATCCTCCATGTCATGAGTATCCGGCAGGGTACTCAATCATCCGCCTCCGACCCCGGCTCGGAGCCCTACAACATCATCCCCGTCCACAACCTCCTAGCAGACCACCCCTCCCTTCGCTTCCCAGAGGTGCGCGCTGCCGCCGTCTCCCTACACGCGGTCGGCAACCTCCACCGTCCTCCTTACGCCCAATGGCAGCCCCACATGGACCTCCTCGACTGGCTCGCCCTCTTCTTCGGCTTCCAATACGACAACGTCCGCAACCAGCGCGAGCACATCGTCCTCCACCTCGCCAACGCTCAAATGCGCCTCAATCCTCCCCCGGACAACATCGACACCCTCGACGGCGCCGTTGTGAGGAAATTCCGGAAGAAGCTGCTCAAGAATTACACCAGCTGGTGCTCCTATTTGGGGAAAAAGTCTAGCATTTGGATATCTGACCTGCCGCGCGAGGCCGCCGCCGACCAGCGCCGGGAGCTGCTGTACGTGTCGCTGTACCTGCTTATCTGGGGCGAGGCGGCGAATCTGAGGTTTGTCCCTGAGTGCCTGTGCTTTATTTTTCATAACATGGCCTTGGAATTGAATAAGATCTTGGAGGATTATATTGATGAGCAGACGGGTCAGCCCGTGATGCCTTCGACTTCGGGGGAGAATGCGTTCTTGAATGGTGTTGTGAAACCCATTTACGAGACGATTCGAGCCGAGGTCGAGAGCAGCAAGAATGGGACTGCCCCTCATAGTGTTTGGAGAAACTATGATGATATCAATGAGTATTTCTGGAGTAAGAGGTGTTTTGACAAGCTCAGGTGGCCTGTTGATGTTGGGAGTAACTTTTTTGTTACTTCTAGTAAGAGTAGGCATGTGGGAAAGACTGGGTTTGTGGAGCAGAGGTCCTTTTGGAACTTGTTTCGGAGCTTCGACAAGCTCTGGATCATGTTGATTATGTTCCTCCAGGCTGCTATTATTGTTGCTTGGGAGGAGAGGGAGTATCCATGGCAGGCGTTGGAGGAGAGGGGAGTGCAGGTCAAGGTTTTGACTGTGTTTTTCACTTGGGCTGGTTTGAGGTTTTTGCAGTCGTTGCTTGATGTGGGGATGCAGTATAGTCTGGTTTCGAGGGAGACTTTGGGGCTCAGCGTGAGGATGGTGTTGAAGAGCATAGTTGCTGCCGGGTGGATTGTGGTTTTTGGGGTGTTCTATGGGAGGATATGGACGCAGAGAATTCAGGATGGGAATTGGTCCACCCAGGCAAATAATCGGGTGGTGAATTTTCTTGCGGTGGCGGCAGTTTTCCTTCTACCTGAGCTTTTGGCTTTGGTCCTCTTTATTCTTCCTTGGGTTCGGAATTTTCTTGAGAACTCAAACTGGAAGATATTTTACATATTATCTTGGTGGTTTCAGAGCAAAACTTTTGTTGGCCGTGGTTTGAGAGAAGGCCTCGTGGACAATTTTAAGTACACTTTGTTCTGGATTTTCTTGCTTGCTACGAAGTTTTCTTTCAGTTACTTTATGCAGATTAAACCCCTGATTCGCCCCTCAAAAGAACTCATAAAACTTAAGAATGTGAACTATGAAATGTACCAGTTTTTCGGCAACAGCAACAAATTGGCAGTGGTATTGCTGTGGCTTCCAGTCGTTTTGATATATCTCATGGATTTGCAGCTGTTTTATTCGATTTACTCCTCTCTTGTGGGGGCAGGAGTGGGCTTGTTTGCACATTTGGGTGAGATACGAAATATCGGGCAACTAAGGCTGAGATTCCAGTTCTTTGCTAGTGCAATTCAGTTTAATCTCATGCCAGAAGAGCAACTGTTAAATGCAAGGGGGACTCTGAGGAGTAAGTTTAATGATGCCATCCACCGGTTGAAACTGAGGTATGGGCTTGGACGACCTTATAAGAAGCTTGAATCCAACCAGGTTGAGGCAACCAGGTTTGCGTTGTTATGGAATGAGATCATTTTGATCTTCAGGGAAGAAGATATAGTTTCTGACGGTGAGCTCGAGCTGTTAGAGCTGCCACAGAATTCTTGGAATGTCAGGGTTATTCGCTGGCCTTGTTTTCTTCTTTGCAATGAACTACTGCTGGCACTTAGTCAGGCCAAAGAGTTAGTAGATGCTCCCGATAAGTGGCTCTGGTATAAAATATGCAAGAACGAGTATAGGCGCTGTGCTGTTATAGAAGCTTATGATTGCATCAAGCACATGCTACTTGAAATTGTCAAATGCAACACAAAAGAACATTCCATTATGACAGCCTTTTTTCAGGAAATTGATCACTCTCTTCAGATTGAGAAGTTCACCAAAACATTTAAAACGACGGCGCTTCCACAGCTCCATGCAAAGTTGATCAAACTTGTTGAGCTTCTGAAAAACCCCAAGCAAGATACGAACCGTGTAGTAAATACTCTGCAGGCCCTTTATGAGATTGCCATTCGAGATTTTTTCAAGGAGAAAAGAAGTACTGAACAGCTGATGGAGGATGGTTTGGCTCCTCATAATCAAGGCTCTTCTGCAGGGCTACTTTTTGAAAATGCTGTTGAGTTGCCCGATCCTAATAATGTATTGTTCTATAGGCAGGTTAGGCGCTTGCACACAATACTCACCTCTCGGGACTCGATGCAGAATATCCCAGTTAACCTTGAGGCAAGACGCAGAATTGCCTTCTTCAGTAACTCCTTATTTATGAACATGCCCCATGCCCCTCAAGTTGAGAAAATGATGTCCTTCAGTGTGCTGACCCCGTACTACAGTGAAGAAGTATTGTACAACAAAGAACAACTACGTACAGAGAATGAAGATGGGATTTCTATCCTGTATTATTTACAGACAATTTATGTTGACGAGTGGAAAAACTTTATGGAGAGGATGCGCAGAGAAGGAATGGGCAGTGATGATGAAATTTGGTCAACTAAGTTGAGAGAACTCAGGCTCTGGGCATCTTACAGAGGCCAAACACTTACGAAGACCGTAAGGGGAATGATGTATTATTATCGGGCTCTTAAGATGTTGGCTTTTCTAGATTCTGCATCAGAGATGGACATTCGGGAAGGATCACAAGAACTTGGTTCCATGATGCGAGACATTGGCTTGGATGGCTTGACTTCTGGGAGGTCACCTCCTTCCCGGAGTTTAAGTAGAACAAACAGTTGTGTGAACTCATTGTACAAAGGTCATGAGTATGGAACTGCTTTGATGAAATTTACATATGTGGTTGCATGCCAGATATACGGAACACAAAAAGCGAAAAAAGATCCCCATGCAGATGAAATTTTATATTTGATGAAAACCAACGAAGCACTTCGAGTTGCCTACGTTGATGAGGTTTCAATTGGCAGGGAGGAGAAGGAGTACTATTCTGTTCTTGTGAAGTATGATCAGAAATTAGAGAAGGAGGTGGAAATATACCGCATAAAGTTGCCTGGTCCATTGAAGCTTGGAGAGGGAAAACCAGAGAATCAAAATCATGCCATTATCTTCACTCGTGGTGATGCAGTTCAGACGATTGATATGAACCAAGACAATTATTTTGAGGAGGCGCTCAAAATGCGGAATCTATTGGAAGAATACAGGCGCTATTATGGCATCCGGAAGCCTACTATCTTGGGAGTCAGGGAGCATATTTTTACTGGTTCTGTCTCATCACTTGCTTGGTTTATGTCAGCTCAGGAAACAAGCTTTGTCACCTTGGGACAACGGGTGCTCGCGAACCCTTTGAAAATTAGAATGCATTATGGTCATCCAGATGTGTTTGACCGATTTTGGTTCATGACTCGAGGTGGCCTCAGTAAAGCTTCCAGGGTCATTAACATCAGCGAAGACATTTTTGCTGGCTTTAATTGCACGTTGCGGGGTGGAAACGTCACACACCATGAATACATTCAAGTCGGTAAGGGAAGGGATGTTGGATTCAATCAAGTTTCCATGTTTGAGGCCAAAGTTGCTAGTGGGAATGGGGAGCAAGTTCTCAGCAGAGATGTCTATAGGTTGGGTCACAGGCTAGATTTCTTGCGGATGCTATCATTCTTTTATACTACAGTTGGATTCTTTTTTAATACAATGGTTGTTGTTCTTACTGTGTACGCATTTCTATGGGGCCGGCTTTATCTGGCTCTTAGTGGTCTTGAAGGTTCTATTTTAGAAAATGATTCTAGTAACAGAGCGCTCGCTACAGTCTTGAATCAGCAGTTCATTATCCAACTTGGTGTGTTTACTGCCCTTCCAATGATAGTGGAGAATTCCCTTGAGCATGGATTCCTTAATGCTATTTGGGATTTCTTGACAATGCAGCTCCAGCTTTCATCAGTTTTCTACACATTCTCAATGG